TGTGTGTGTGTGTGTGTGTGTGTGTGTGTGTGTGTGTGTGTGTGTGTTTGTTTGTGTGTGGGTGGGTGTGGGTGTGTGTGCGTGCTGGCGTGCGTGTAAATTGTGAGTTAATATGTTAATTTACAGCTTAGAGCATTATATTGCTGTTTAACCAATGTAGCGCGACATTTTACCTGAGGACATATTCTTCGACTGTTAGCAGTAGCAATGGAGTAAGGTAGTAACTGATGTTTACGCAGAAGCGTTCGCAGAACAAATTTTAGGAACACAGTGCACTCACTTCCACTGGCCACACCCCCGCTAAACTAATGTATGGCAGAGATTTACGGTCTCGATTAGATTTGATAATGCCGCAGGAGAAATGTATTTGCGACGTATCAAATGATAAAAATAATTGCCGTAGAAAGTTTAAAGTAGGAGACAACGTGTGGGACAGGTGGTACAAGGACTGCACTGCAAGGAAAGAATGTTGGAAACTGGGTATAATCGATGATGTGATTGGAAACCGATAAATATAATAACTGTGATATTCCCTGTATTAAGTATATAGACCGGTTAATACAACATAAACAGCCGCCCCCTACCCCGGACCGGGCGAATATAACTCGATCACAATCGAAATCGAGTCCTTCTTTGCCTTCTGTGGTTTTCCCTGCTGCATTCAGTCGGACTCAGAGCGGTTCGTCATTACCGCCGCAAATGAGTCGTGAGCGAGAGACCACCACGGCGGAGGTTGCGGCATCGGCACCGTCGTCCGATTCCGAAGTTCAACCTGGCGCTGAGCCGTCACTTACACGCCCGCGAAAATGCATTAATTATAAGGACTAGGTTTGTTATTAATAATTTATGTTGCTTAATGATTAAGTAACTTACTTTATGGCGTCCCTTTTCTTGTTTACAGAATTGAAAATTGATGTGGGGGAGAAGAGCCCTCCAGTTTTGTTTCTACGCAGCGCAGAATTTGGTGTATTCCTCCACCCGGTGTTAAATAATGGCAGAGCAGAGTTTTATCAAAATATTTCCGGCCTTTTTGAATATTTAATGGTTCGGCCTTAGAGTAATAACGCATAGAATGATAGTTTCATATCAAACGAACTGTGACAAACGAAACAAGTGAGGCAAAAATCAAATTCATGTAGGCTAGTTTTAGTAGTAGGTTAATTTTCGGTTTTAGTGAATATTTGTATAAAAATACAATTGAAACACGTTACTTCCTTGTGGAACGTGATGTTAGTATCTATTTTATGTTTGTCTGACGTATTTACACTCATTTACCGCACATTTCGTCATTTTAGCTAAAATTCTTGATCTGTTCGCGGTGCAACTTGACCTTGAGCACCGAAGGCCCGCCCGCTCGGGTAGGCCATTTGGCGCGCTTCAATTTGCCTCACTTAGCGTGTGTGGACTAGGTTTCTATGCGTTATTATTCTAAGGGTTCGGCTCGCTACTCAGTACACAATTTTTTCTGAAATAATTTACAATCGTAGGTTTTTCATTTTATGTATGGACTTGGATGCTTCTTCAATGTTTTGTTTCCGCTCTGTTCAATATTTTCTGTTTCTGTGTATGTCTGACATCAAAACACTTTCCACTCATCTGCACATCGTTCAAACTCAGGTGGAAAATCAATGAGCCGTTATCTATCATGAAATTCCTTACTATACAGTGCAACCTGTGATGCGGCTGACATCCTAGCCAAGCGTGGAAAAACAGAAGAGGCAAGTGGTGAATTTACTACCATGTTACTCAGAATTTCTTCCCAAATATGGGTCGAAATGTGCTCAAATGTGGAGTGAATATTTTAATATCAGATCAAGGAAAAAAGGGATCTGGTATCGCACAACTCAGTGTCAGCCTCTTCGTTTACTTTAGTTTGCAGAGTGCGACTATGGCATATAAGAAAAATAAAGGTAGGCATACAAATATTTCTCCCGGCCCGGGAAACGAACCCGGGACCTCTGCGTGCCAGGCCAACATGGTAACCCTTCGGCCACGTGCAGGCACGAGGCAGTTAACAACTCGTCGAGATCATTTTAATGAGCCCGAACACAGCAGTTTTACCTTACCATAGTATATAACTGTGTTGTGGGGCAACTCCCGCCTGTTCGGCGCAACAATGCCCACACTTTGCTCGGAGGGTAGGGTTGTAACATAATTCTAACGATTTACCGTTTCTAAAAACCATAATTACTGCATCCGAGGTTATCGCATTTCCATAATATATCACCAAGTTTCAAGTCGCTCTGTCAAGTAGAAATACAATAAATTTTCATTATGTGACTGAGATCTCTACGCTAACAGTGAAAAAAGCTGATGATGTCTAACTAGCTGAACAGATGTTCCTCAAACATAGGTAAGAACCATCCAGATTATATTAGCGTTCAAATAAAAACCGTTTTGAGATGTGTCCATCCGTTAAGGAGCTAGGATGCCTCAGACAGACAGATATACAGATAAAGGCTTCAAACTTATAACTCCCCTCTTTTTGCATGAGAGGTTTAAAAAACTCGATCATTTCATATCAAACAAATAATCTCGTGTGTGATATTTTAATAACAGTGGCTGCCATAGTGAAAACTAAGACTAGTACTGTGAGTATTATAATATGATTAATGATACGCTCTAACAATAGATCTCGCAAAGCGAACAAGAGAACAAAAAAACTTATTACAAACATAAAAAATGTAGCAAATAAAAAGTCAATTTACTTGGTTTGCATGCCAAATACAAGACGTCACACGGCAAGCAAAATATCTACATGTGTATATATTGTAACAAAGTGGTTATATTCTATATATTGTATCAATTGGAATGATTATTTTAATTTTAAATAGTACCTCCTTTTTCCAGGTAAGTCGCTTCTTAAAAACTCTAACATCGCCTTGGTTTTGAAATTACTTACCCTCACACTTTTTGCCGTTGACACTGAATGTGATCTTATCCATTGCTGCGTTCAAATAGTATAATAGTTGAGCGTTATTTTCCGAGCATTGAAATAGTCATGTGTAGACGTAATTATGGACACGGAAAGACCGCTTCATCTATTTAAAACACTCGGAACACTATCGTGTACTTAAACCATACATTTTAAATATTTATAAATATCGCGACGCGATGGTGCACGTCTCAGTCGGTGTTGATTATTAGTAACTGCTCATTCTGAAATATTCACATAGCAGATTGTTTCAGTTAGGTACCTAATGTAGAAAATTGAGTTTCCGTCGGCACGCACCACACACGCTTGCAAATTTAACAATCCTACTTGTTATACAGCGTGGCGTGTTTCATAGATTTAGTGAAACTATTATTTTTCACTTGTTGTATGACTTTAATATACAGGGCCATCCGTAAGGTGTATTTCTATAGTAAAAAGGTTTGCTAGCCTAAAACATTTAAAAACTGATTGGCTCTGAACACTGAAATATCTACAAGAAAACATATTCTGTTGGACGTACAATGAGCCCAATCTCTGTGGTCTCGTTGAACACGCAGTGACGGAAGACAACAATTGGTCTAGATCTAAAAACCATACAGCTAAACAAATATGAGGTAACCTTGCCTACTTATGATAGAATTCATTTGGATCGGTACTGGTAGAAAGTGAACGCCTACAGCTGTTTACAAAAAAATTCGTGTAGCGTACGCTAGCAAAAATATACATTAGGACGGAAATTTTCTTTTTAAAATTTAAATAATATTAGCATTGAAAGTGACAACCTTAAATGAAAACTAAAAATCACTGTAGATATACCTATCCGTGGAATTAGTGTAGAAAGCAACCACCTAATACGGCTGACTATTGAAATAAAAAGAAATAAACGGAAAAAATAAAGTAAAATAATATCGTAACGAATGAACCTATGTCGATGTTGATTACTCTAAAATAAAAAACTAACTACAGATGTATCACTGACGCTATTTATCCCGTGGTCGAGCAAAGGACAACCGTTTCCTCATGCTCCTAAAGATGCCCTATTAAATAATAATTCAACGTTTATGCTTCCTGCCACAATCATCATCATCATTTCAGCCGAAAGACGTCCACTGCTGTACACGGGCTTCCCCCAAATGTCGCCATGTGGACCGTCCATGTACCGCTTGCATCCAACAGATTGCCGCAAGATTCTTCAAGTGATCGGTCCACCTCGCGGGTAGTCTGCCCAAGCCTCAGCCGTCCTGTCCTGTCCTGCGAGCTATGTGGGGTACATTGCTCGCAGGACACTGCCACTTAAGTTTTGCAATTCTTTGAGCTATGTCGGTTCCTCTCATTCTTTTGGGTATATCCTCATTTCTGGGTGATCTTGTGCCTTCTTATGGGGTCCATTGTGAGCGAGCACGTCTCAATGCCGTAAGTCATCACTAGCAACTCACACTTTCGCCTTGAGACTCTGTGGTATTTTGCACGAGAATGCATGAATCTTGAATAAATAGTTAACGTTTAAATATTTGTTTAATCAATTTTTTATGTATTACGTTAGTGTGTTGTATAAGTTGTAGAACTAATAGTAGAGGAAGAACTAATTCATAGGATTTACATCATTTTTTTTAATGGCAAAACTAAAATATAATCTGATTTGTTACAAAAAACTTCCAATAACTTTTCGGTGGGTGCTCCTGGTTTCAGGACGCAGAGAATATTACACCGCCACCGCTTAGTTGTATCTGAAGTTGCTGTTGCACTCATCTTCGAAGGTCACAGCTAAATATACAAAGATAAAACAAAAATTCCTTCGAGCCGACTGGATTCCAACTAGCGTCTGTAGCCTCAAAGTGGCTACGTGGCAACGTGGTTATTTTCATACTGTTTTTCTATTTGTTTGTTTCGGGTATCATTTTGTACAAGTAGTTTTTCATTCTCATTTTATGCCGTCCAAAAAAAGGTCAGATCAAAAATATCCCTGCGCGCATGAAAAGATTGAATGCGTGTTGTGTGTCAAGATTGTAGCAAGTGGAAGTCTGTGGTTTTTAGCTACCCCATTGGGAAAAGGACTCGAGTCGTACGAATGAAACTAATTTTGGTTATAATTTATTTAGTCCTTCTCTTCTTCATTGTCGAAGGAGCATTGTGGCTTCGAAGGGCAGCTTCTATTTAGGTAGAAGTGTTCTAGTACCTCATAAATTTCCCATTGAAACGTTAATAACTCAGTGAGTACATTTAATTTTATAAATTTGGATATTATAATGTATACCTAGTACAGGCGTAAATACGCGCCTAGACGTCGAGTTGCGGACAGCAGCCCGTTACACCGAGTACCTAGTACATAATAAATACATATCAGCATACAAAATTTTGATATTTTATCATATAAAAACATCACAATTTTCTCGTTACTTTAAAATAAATAATATCATTTATTATAATAACCTATTAAATCGTCTAATGACATTAGACGCTCACTTTGAGGGGAAAGGAACTATTACGAAGCGGTTCAGGAATAGCTTTTTCAAATGAAATAAGAAACGTGAAATGTAAAAAGTATAGCATGACAAATTAATTTTTTATATGTTACCGGCTATATGGGGATGTAACAGAACCTAAGCAGGCGCTCGGAGAGGTGAAAATACGTTGCCCGCATTGAGCAGTCGTGCCAAACTTGAATGCGGTTCAGTCCATAAATGTTAGTAGTGATGTTAGTAGACCGAATCTCAACATCAAGAAAAAGAAAACCAAGTATATGGCCATAACAAAACAAACGTTCATTGACAGCTTGTTACGCAACGGACAGAAATTAGAAAAGTACAAGAATATAAGTACTTAGACTGTTATTTGATGATCGTGTTGGCCACAGTCTTAAAGTAAGGTGCCGCCACATTCAAGAAGCGGGAAATGCTTTCTTCAGAATGACGACCCTGCTCTGTAATAGAAGTCTTAACGTCGGTCCCGCGCTCGACTGGCTCATTGTTGCATCTTCTCCATTCTCTTGTACGGAGCAGAAGCTTGGACACTCACAGAATCTATGTGCAAAAAAGCCTTCGAAATGTGGGTGTATAGGAGAATGTTGAGAGTATCGTGGAGAGACAAAGTCACGAACGAAAGGGTGCTGCAGCTGGTTAGTCGAAAACGAGAAGTGTTGATAACATCAAAAGAAGGAAACTGGAGTAACTGGGTCATATATAGAGAAAACCAAAGTACGACTTATTACAATTAATAATCCAAGGCAAAATACAAGGAAAGAGAGGTGTAGGAAGAAGGAGAATATCCTGGCTTAGAAATTTGCGCCAGTGGTTCAATAACACCCGTTCATTATTCAGAGCTGCAGTGTCCAAAGTTCAGATTGCCATCTCCGACCTTCATTAGAAGATTGACATGAAGAAGAAGTAATGCTTGCAATGCTGCTTGATGGACGAATTAGGTAAGGTGACAGTACTTCCCTAGACGAACTCTTTCACAAGGAGCTCTATACTGATACTTACTTGATGAAGAAGAAGATGTAAGTACGAGTAGTAGGTATCCTGTGAGGGAAGCCTTAGCTGTCCATCGTCGTTATTTGTATACAGGCGTAGTTTTCAGTGCAATTGCTATTTTATAATGTTCGAGTATCTACTGATTGTCTATTGTTTTAATAAACGTGTATTTAAAAACAATGTTTGGGTGTCCAGTTTTTAGGTTTTCGTGGTTGTTTCGCATAGGAAATGAAACTATTGTTTCCGGATCTAAATCGCGTATATCTGTTTCTTGAAACTATTGAATCGTTCAGTTAATTGATATGAAACGTCCGGTGTTACGAAAGCGCATAGTGTACACGAAAAATGGATATACCTACATAAATATTTCAGCGAGGACATACGGCCAGAAGCTAATACAAAATGCAATATAATGCAAAATCATACAAATACAGCATTTCTCACGCAATCGTGAGAAATGCTGTAGCGTGATATTCAAAGTAACGTAAAAAACGATCGTTCGCCTAAGTTTGAATCTAGATGTGCGGGGATTGTGTTATTAATTGTTACCATCCATAAAGGTAAGTACTAATATTTGGTAGCTGGGGGGCCAGAACTATTCTCAGTTTGGCGGGGGTAAACAATTGTTTTATGTAAAATTTTATGAATAAATAAAAATAAAAAAAATATGAAATTTTGGTGGCTATATTATTAGGGATTCAAATAAGGTTATAATCGAAGCGTTAGACATTTTCAATATTGATTTTGACTATTTTCAATCTATACATCACATGGAGCGAAGCTATGGAGAAGCAACGAGAAGCACTAGCAGTGTCTTTGGACATTTCTAAAGCATTTGATATTAAAAGTAGAAAGCATTAAATCATGCCATGAGTTATGTACTAGTGTTAGTAGAATGACACGTATTTCTATCGAAAGGTTAAAAGGACAGGTTCTTCACGTAACAGATATTTAAACGATGACTGTGTACCAAGCTTCTTGGATAAGATATCAGACTCATCACAGTTAAACGAAAATAATTTGAATGATATTTTGATTCAGTCTGCCAATAGTGATAGTAACACCTTTCTCAACAAGCCTTTTACATTGAATGACTTATACATATCACTGTATGAAAGATACAACACCAGGATTGGACAACATACCAGAGGACAGAAAATGTTATTGAATATTTAAGATAAACTTTGGAATTATTTAGTCATACCAGACTCATGGAAAATTCAATGTGTCCTTCCCATCTTAAAACCAAATGAAGCTGTAGATAATTCTACATCCTTAGAATAATAACGCATAGAAACCTACCTACCGCACACGCTAAGTGAGTCAAATTAATAGACGTTTTCGAGGAGTTTGAGAATGCTTATTACGAATGTAGCATTAATTTCTAAATCTAAGATGGTTGACAGGAATTTTCAAAAATTGATTTTTGTTAATCCATAAGGAAATGGCATGGCATTTATATCTGAATACACGATGGCGGACAAGACTTTTCTAATTTCTAAATCCAAGATGGCACAAACGATTTTTGAAATAATGGCAAGTTGGGTATCGTTTTCGAGGTATTTGAGGGTGCTTTACGAATATAGCATTTCTCGAAATCATACTCAAGTCCCTGCCATTAGGGTCGTAATTCCAGTGCTTGAAATCGTACTCAGATCCCGACTTGAGCATTGAGTAGAGTTCTGGAATACGACCCTTTGACACCGACTG